CACTATAATGAACATTTCTGGGGACTTTTTCTTGCATAGTTGTCCAAAATATTTTTCCTCCGTTACCTAATTGTTACATGTAGGGGTAGCGGATTCAATAGATTAATTTCAATTGTATTGTATCTGCTGTACAGTATGTAAAATTAATTTATCCATCTTGTTTTCATCAATTATTTTTTTCAAGTTTATAATTGTTGAATTAAATTTTTAGACTTTATTTAAACTACTCATAGTTTAGGATTAATTCTATATTGGATAATAATTTTGCTATGTTACAATGTTATCAGCACTTCTACATTCTATACAGTAGCATAAAAAGAAAAAGAATGTTCGTGGACATTAACTAAAATGGGTTGCTTATATATATATAAAAAAAAATTGAGTTCCAATAATAAAATAACGTTACTTGTTTGTAATTAAACCATAAATTATAAAATAACTATTCAAATAAAATAAAATATTCAAATAAAAATATTATATAATATTTTCAATATGTAATGCTTTTATTACGAATAGTTAAAAAAATGTTGAGGCCCCTTTTTAGCCGTGAGCCCACTTTGCCCACCCGATCTACATGCCACAAATTTTGCATTCATTTTATCTTTGAAATACCTGACGAATTCTATACAACAATTTCGTACATTGATAGGAAACGTGTATTTACTAAAATAAATTCGACTGTGAGCTGAGTAATTCATTATTTGAGCTGATATATTATTGTAATAAAAAATAAAAATAAAATAAATGCTATAGGTAGTGAAATCAATTAATTTTTGCTTTGCTCTAAATAAATAACAATTTTGAGTCTTAGATCTTTATTGTGCAATAACGCGGCTGTAGCTATTTGTCAAATTTCCATAGAAGTTGTTCTTTTTTTTTCACGTGAATCCTTTTCTAACATGATCTTTAAAAGAAAAATCAGTATTTAACATAATTTTTTTCCATCAAGTATATATTTTAACTTTCGTCCTCATGTTATAATATATTATTAACATATGTTATATTAGTGATTCCCAAAGTGTATTCCGCGGAACCTAAGGTTTCACAAGATGTACGTGAGTAGAGTAGTAGAGCAGTAATTTTCCTACTTAAACAATAACCACAAATTATTTTTAAAACATTTTTTGAAGTATTGGTTTTTCAATAAATAATTGAAAAATAGGGGTTAAATTGTAGTTGGAGATAATGGAGTTCAACGAAAAACAAACTATTTCTTAAGGGTTCTATGGTCGTAAAAGTTTGGGAACCGCTGTGTTATATAACATGGTATTAATTATTTTTCTTTGTGTGTATATTTTCTTTTCTGTAGATTATATATTTATGTGGGCAACGTCAGTGTGGGTTTTACAATTTTAGAGGGCTTCAGCAAAAACATTAACAGGGTTCTCGGTTGTGTTCATCTACTTTGTTATATTATAGGTATATAATATATATATATATTTTATTATTATGATTATTACCTCTATAGAGGATTAAATAATTGTCTTATTCTGCTAATATTTTATTGAATATGTTTCAGTCCCGAAAGTCCCATAATTTTCATATGGTTTTATTTTTTCAAAAACAATTGTAATTCATAACAAAATATAATGTATCTATAGTATGTATCTTATCGATTTGTTAATTTTGTATGTGAGGCGTAGAAGATTCACTACTTAAATGGATTCTACAAGGGACGTTATGCAATGATTTATAACCTGCACTTGGCAGATATAGGATCTTAAAAAATATTATTCACACATCTACGCATTAAATATTTACTTTTTTCCTATTTTTTTCTTTTTTATCGCTTCATAGGTTAGAACATAAAAACAACATATGACTCGACCTTTCGACTTTTCTTAAAAAAAAAAAAAAAAAATCCGGTAAATAAGTACACACAAACAAGTTTTAATTGGCAAAATTAATTTTATCCAACAAAAAAGAAAATTATTTTAATATTTTAACTGTAATCTTTTATATAGGTATATAAAATTAAATACAAATCTCGAGTAATTAAAATATCAAATAGCTACTATGGCGGCAAATTGTACGTATGAAAAGCACAGCTGTTAATCTCTTGATTAATTAATATTTTAAAATAAATTATTATTATTCCGATTATTTTTACATTTTAAAAAACTATTAATTACTATTAATCAGTGGCGTGGTCAGGAACTTTTTATGGGGAGGTGGGTTCAGCAAATTTATGTATATTTAATCTTATCACTATTATTTTGACTACTATTTGTATTGATCTTGGTATTTTTAAGTCTAGTTAACATAAGTTTTTTTGACTCGGGTAAAAAAAAAATAATTAATTTTTCTAATCTGCTTATTTGTTAGAGAATTTGCCTATAACAATAAATAAAATAATAATAATAATAATAATAATTTAGGAACTAGGAACTAATATAGGAACATAAATATTAGATATTAGAATATTTACTGTCCAATCACTTAGGTATACTAAAAATTAAATTTTAAAAATATCTTACCATAATGGAAAGTTTAGGCGTCTTATAATGATGTGAAATTAAAATAAAACAAATTTAATGGAATATAAATATCAAATATAAACGAATAAACGAGTAGTAAGTAAAACAGTGAGACACCAACGGGCAACGATTATTAGTTTTACACAATAAGGTGCTTTTATTAAATGATCGACGAGCCGCGAATGCAATAGGTATACCCAAAATAAACTTTGAATATAGACTATTTATCGCTTTATGTCTGTTATTGGGACCAGACGACCGATTTAGAATCAACCGTTGTAGAAAACCTAAATAATATTTTCCCAAGCAAAAATGATCAAAGTAGTAGTAAAGTATCTAAATATGATCATAATATTATGACTTGTGTGTGTGTGTGTGTTCAGCGTGTTTATAATACGTTTATAATGTTTATACAAACTATTAATATGATTTCCTAGTTAAAATTCTATAATATAAAAATGTTAAAGAAAAAACCGTGTTTCATGTAAAAGTTAATTTACCATCTCAAGCTCATGGGGAGGTTCAGATCCCCAAACCTCCCCATGAATACGCCACTGCTATTAATCAAAAGATATATATTATGATTGCGATTTATTGTTACGACTCTTTATATTATCTAATCGAACATATCAAAGTTATATTCAAATATTGCAATTTTGCTAAAATATATACTAACGAAAATACTTTATCAAATTCCGTTTTAAAATGGCTACGAAAAAAAAATTATAAGATTTTACGAAAGTATTTACAATTTTACCAATTTTAAATCATAAATGTAATTGAATGTTTTTAATCTATAAATAAATAGTTTATATATAAAAATAAATAAATAAATGCTTAGCTTGGAGTATTATTTCTATTGTATGACTGATTTCGAATTAAAAATATATCATCAGATATATACAGTTCATAAAATCGCGACTGAATATAAAGAATTTATTTTTTAATTATTTATATTTATATTTTATATGTATATATAATTCATTTTTTATTTGTTCGTATTCAATCACGATTTTATTTACGAGTATTAATCATTTACTATTTTATTTATTTTATTTTTTGAAAGTTTATTATTTTTGAGATATACTTAAACGAACGAACTATATTAAATTTAAGTATGAAAATAAGAAACCTAATTTTTTTAAATTTTTGTGATACGTTCATTCATAATAATATTCAACATTTGTGTACTGAAATCAACATTTTTTTGTTTTTTATATTTGAGTAAAAATGCACTATAATGCATTATAATCTATATTTTATAACAGTGAAGTAACTATAGACTTCACTCTGGGTCAGTTTCTTTCAACCTGCGGGACGTGTATATATTGCTGTGTTAGGGAGTAAGCACAAAGTTTACAAATTATTATAATAATTGAAAGAAATAATACCTAGTCATTACTAGAACTCGGATGTTAGTGACCAAAATTTCATAAAAATATGCATTATAAAATGTCAAAATATGCTATTATATGCCATAAAATATATTAAATATACCTATTTTTTCATCAAATATATGCAAAAATATAGTTAACATTAATTCAATGTATTTACTCTTTTGAATTTGTATTTAAAATACTGTATTACAAAAAACACAGCTTATAAATATGAAAAAACGTATTGATTAGTTTTCGATCTATTAAAGTTAAATTTTACATAGGTTAAGCACTTTAAGTATCAGTATTACACTGTACAATAATAATTTTGCTGATATTTTCAAACTTGAAGGACCTTCGACGATCCAACAAGAAGTTTTTGTAGACTGAAAATAACACAATTAACGGTAATGATTGATAATTTATAATAAAATGGACAGTTTTTATTATTATACTTATACTTTATAAAATGTATGCTATTTAAACTAGAAACAATCGATAAGTATATGCATTTATATGCTCAAAAATTTCAAATATGCAAAATAAGTTTGCATATTTGTAATCAAGATTTCATGACTCGAATTTATATCATATTAGGTTATAATTCTGGTTGCACGAAAAAAATATGCTAAGTCATAAACATCCGAGCTCTAGTCATTACGTATATTGTTTATCTGCAAGGGTACGTAGAATAAAAAAGTTTGGAACCACTGCTCAAACTATCACAGTTAAATTAATTTCGGTAATCAAAACCTTGTCCAGTTACATTCGATTACTAGTAGTATGTTAGGGGCTTCATCACTTAAACTGTTTGAACAAGACTTTTGGCTATTATTGAAATATTTTTCTTAATTTATATTAATTTTATACTTTTATATAATTATTTATAGTGAGAATATGGAAAGCAATGATAACGGTTAAGTTCAATCCCTTATGGTTTTTTTTAGGCTTATACAGAGCGGAGAAATTAATACTGCCAAGGAAAATTAACTTAGATTTTTTTTTTTACAAATGTGATGTTTTTTCTTCTTTTCTATTCAATGATGATTTTCTATTCAATTTCCTATATAGATTTAATTCACAATGCAGCAAATACTGTATTTGCACTATTGTACTAAGAATATGCATAACTTATATATATTTTTAGTTGGAGGCGGAACAGCAGGTATTGCTGTAGCTTCACGTTTAGCAGAAAACAAAGCCCATACCGTTTTATTAATTGAAGCTGGACCCAAAGTATCAGTATTTCATGACATACCACTTGCTACATCAATGCTTCAAAAGTCACCAATCGATTGGCAACATCGAACGGAGCCACAGTTCAATGCATGTCTTGCTATGAAAAATAATGTATAGAATACCTATAAGTTGTATTTATAAAATTTAATTTAAAATCTTTCCATCCATCGATTAATGTTTTTTTGTTCAATTAAAAAATTAAAAAATTGTTAATTATTTTTGGTTTCTCAAGTCTAGTCACTGGCCCTCAGGAAAAGTTTTGGGAGGCAGTAGTCGCATCAATTTCAATATTCATTTTAGAGGATATATTCCTACTGATTATTTATCGTGGCAATCTGGTCAAGATTGGTCCAGAGAGGATGTTCTTTATTACTTCAATAAGTATGAAAAGACTGGTACATGTAATAGTAGGTATATTTATGTTAAAAAAATATATAACATTAAAGTTGACAAGTAACTTATCAATAAGAGTTTTGATTTTATACAAACAAATGTGTACAAATGAAAAATATCCATAACATAAAAGTTTATAAAATAAATATATAAAACCATTAAAAATAAAATAATATACAACCAGGATCACCCAATAAAAAAAAATTCTTCAGTCATCAACCAACACACGTGACACCAATTGCAGCAGCCATACTTGAAGCAGCTAATGAGTTGGGCTATAATACTTCATTAAGTATGAACACCGATAATTTTCAAATTTCTAGACAAAACAGTGGTAGTTTTTCATTGACACCAGTCGCAATAAGAGCAGGTACTAGATTAAGTGCTGAACATCTATATTTAAAATCAAAGAAGAAAAAAAACTTAACTGTCCTTACAAATGCATACGTTTCAAAGGTAATTATGAAGATAAACTTAATTTAAAATTTTGTTTTGTATTTAATCAGTAATATTACACTGTTATTTCTTAAATATTATTTTCTTAAAGTAGGTGTTGTTTAAAAATAATTATGAAGCAAATGGTGTGGAATATAGTAAATTCAATAAAATATTTAATGTTTATGCATTAAAATCAGTTGTCATTTCAGCAGGAGCATTGAATACACCAAAAATACTTATATTAAGTGGTGTAGGACCAGCAAACCAACTTAGATCATTACAGGTAATTGAAATTTTGATTTTTTTTAATAAGTGTTAATTATTATTTATATTAATAGATCCCTGTGATTGCTGATTTAGCAGTGGGAGAAAATTTACAAGATCACATTATTACAGGATTAGACATGATAACTATAGGAAAATCACTAGGACTATCTTTTAAAGATTTTATATCACCAATAAATGTTTATAGATATTTTTATAAAGGCACTGGTAAGATAAAACTAATGAGTTTTTTTTTATAGTATTAATTTATGGTAAACATTATTAGGTGTATGGACACATCCAGGATGTGAAGTAGTTGGTTTGTTACAATTAGATAAAAACAATAATAATGTATCATCCCCAGATTTACAATTAATGCTTTTACCCTTTGGTGCATCGTCTGATGCAGGTGCTGCATATTTTAATCATGTGAATTTAAAGAATGAAGTATGCAAAGATAATACATTTTTTTTAAATAAAATAAACAGCAAATACTATATTGAATTTTTTTATATAATTTTAGTTATGGAATGAATACTTTCAATCACTTGTAGGAAAGCAAGTCATTACATTAGCACCTGTGTTATTGCATCCCCAAAGCCGTGGTTATGTTAAGTTAAATAAGAATTATGATATTGTTATTCAACCAAACTATTTACAAAAATCAAAAGATGTTGATTCATTAATTCAAGGAATGAAGCTAGTGAAAAAATTTGTAGAAACAAAAGCATTATCAAAATTTGATGCAACATTTAACACAAAACATATTCCTGGCTGTAAAAATTACAACTTTGGATCAAAACTTTATTGGGAGTGTTACGTAAGGCATATAACGTTGACATCTTATCATCCTGTTGGGACATGTAAAATGGGAGATATTAATGAACAAAGTGTAGTAGACCATTCATTGAAGTATGTATAAACGTATTCTTGTTCAATTATTTTAATTTAATTAATATTAATTTAATTTTTTTTTTTTAAGAGTTCATAAATTAAATAAATTGTATGTGATTGATGCATCAATAATGCCATCTATGCCAAGTGGAAATACAAATGCTGTTGTAGCGATGATTGCAGAAAAAGGTGCTGATCTCATAAAAAAACATGGTTATGAAAGAACTCAAAAATGTAAAATGTTAGACTTATTTTATGGTGTAGTTTTAAAATAAATTTTAATTTAATCTTTTTAATTATATATTATTTTAAATATATTAAGTATGTATTAAAATATATTCAGGCTTGAATAATTTTATTTTTACCTTTATTTTAATGTGAAAAAATTAATGTTCTGAAGTTTCTATAGTCTTTCCACGTTTTTTGTGTCGCCAACTCATCCCAGTATTTGGTCGCTTTGGTACTTTATGTAAACTACTAAATGCGGATGGTTGTTCTTCATATATCCAGGCAGGTACATTAGTAAATTCTGTACGAGGAAATTTATAACATCTTGTAAAGTATTTCACAAATGTGATTTCATCTGATAAACAATACATAGATGTCCAAGTGTGATAAACTAATAATGGAAATTTTGAAGTCCAATATTCTAAGAATGTATCTGGAATATCGCCTAATAACTTTTGAGTATCTTCTGATAATTCTCGAAAATGATGTTTCTAAAAAAAAAAAAAAATTAATAATTTAATGGTAAATCATCAAATTTAAATAAAAATAAACTTTTATCTTATCTTTATAAATCATTATTTCATATAACTAACTTTATTTCGAAAAGCTCTTAATAGGTCCCTAATACTGTTGGATCTATATGTTCGGTACTTCCTTAATTCTGAAGTTATTTCTTGATCAATTTGATCATGCCAGCCTTCTTTTCCAATAACTCCTTCTCCTCCTTTTTCTAGTTCTAGCATTACCGAACTCGTAGCGTTTTCTTTTTCAACACGATCACTAACATCCTAAAAATTTTGATAGATGGAATTTTTCAACAAGCGAATATATTTATAAAAAATAAACACCTGAAGGAAGGATAGTAATGTAGAACTATCCCAAAATGCTGGATAATATCGAACAGCTGAAGCAGTAGGTCTATCTTCTGGATTTCGACTAATCATCACAAATATCAAACGTTTCCAAATTTCATTTCCATTTAATGCATCAAGACTACATACATTTACATTTTAGTTTACATATATATGTTATATTTAATAATTATTTTTTTTTTAGTTTTTACCAAGGTGCTTGACGATTGTCTAATATTTTAGCTTGGCGCCACAATGATTCACCAAATGGATGTTCTCCTTCGCTGAGGACATAGTAAAATAAACAGCCCATCGAGAAAATGTCAATTGATTTAGTCTACATAGAAAAATAATTATGCATAAAAAGCGATAATTTGATCAATAGATTAAATAATGTATATTCTTACAATAGATGCGTTATTGGCAAACACTTCAGGTGCTATCCAACCATCAGTTCCAGTAACACCTGATCGTTTAGAAAATGATATTTTTCCACCCTGTAACTTTTTACATAAACCAAAATCACTTATTAGTGCTCGGACACTACTATAACTACCACTTCCACGTGTTGGTATTGACAATAAGACGTTATGGGGTTTAATATCCCTGTGAACTAATAAATTAAATAAATTAATATATTTAATAACTGTGAAATTCAATACAATGTAGTTTAACCCATGCAACTTGAATTTGGATACTTTTCCATTTAATATTAGTTTATTTTGTATAATTCAACAAATATTTGTATATAAATCATAATTATGTAATATGAATTTAGTTACACCAAAATAATAAACTACATTAATCATTTTTTGAGGAAATTGTGCACCAAAACAAGATTATTTATAAAATAAAATGTATAATAGATTTATAAATATTATTTTTAAACATAATCAATTTTATTACCTATTCCGAGTGAATGAAGGTGCTGCAGACCTTTAATTGAATGGGATAAAATTTCCCTTGGGCTAATTTCATTTCTCAATTCTCTTTTTTCTACATAATCCTATAAAATATTTAAAATATTTTTTAATTAATTAATATCAAATTAATTTTTGATAAAAATATTAAGCATCAACTGACTTGAAGAGTTGCAGCACATAGTTCAAGTGCAATATATCGAAATTGTTTATCTTGTTCAGTACAGTAGTAACGAACCACATTTGGATGGTAATCAGATTCTCGAAGAATATGAACTTCTCTTTCTCCAGCAATAAAGCATTCGGGTAATAATCTTTTAACAGCCACAGGCCTACGTTCAAATTCTCCTCTATTGAAATGGTAAAAATAAATTATTAAAATTCAATTTATAAAGTATAAATTAAATGAATTACTTAAACACAAATGTTCCTTCACATCCTTTTCCTAAAATTTCATCAGTACGGAACATTATCTTGCCAATTGAAAAACTACCATCAGATAATTCTTCAACTGTTTGTGATAAACTAATATTAGAATTATTTGAACCTCTTGAACTTCCCTGAGAGCTATTGTAACTGTTATTTGATTTATTCTTTAAACCTTTCATCTTGAAACAAGACATGATTATTACAAAAACAAATAAAACAGAACTTGACTAAATTTTGGCTTACTTCTTTTCGGAGATACCAGAACATTAAACTCATTAATAATGTTATCATTATCATAAATAGTTTAATTCCAGCATCATCTCCAAGCATTTGGACAATAAACCAGGTGTCTAAATACTGAGGTGTCTGAGTTGATATTGTACTTGTTTGTTTATTACTGTAGTTATATCCACTCATGTTGTGATAGTAAATTATTGAATCAGTATTTCCTGTTATTCTCGGTATACCAGTATTTAATTCTTGATTCAGCTGGTAATGTCCTGAATGATTTATAATGTAAGAAACACTTGGAAAAACAGAATAATTTTTTATTTGTATTACCCAATAAGATAGTGTGGTTTTCAACATTTTCAGGCTCTACATTGTAATCATTACCACTATAGTATGGTAATACTGAAAATGAAGTTTTATCCAAGAGAACAATTAATCCTCTATCTACTAATGGATTAACTTCACCCGTGTCCGCAATGGCTGGTATAGCATATAAGCCTGTATTAATATGATGACCAATATAAAGTGTATGGCTGTAAAAAAATACAAATATAAATATATATTTAAAAATTTTAAATATTGAATAATTAAATATTATTAACAATATTTAACAAAAACCATAAAACCAAATTAAAAAAATAGGACACACACTTGAAACATCTATACTATAGTTAATTTGTTATAATGTACTAGACCAGTGGTGACCAAACTACGGCCCGCAGGCCAACTCCGGCCCGTCATCATTTAATATCTGGCCTGCGAAAGTCTTCTATATTACAGCACTTATTTGTATAACTGTAATATTTTGCATTTACATAAAAAAAAATTTAGAAAGCATTTTTTTATGGCCCGCGATAAAAAAAAAGTTGTTTTTTATGACCCAAGGAAAAAAAAGTTTGGCCACCACTGTACTAGACCTTGTGCCATGAGAGAATGTAAATGTTAGCTGATTATTCTTCAACATCAGTTGACTTATTGAGCACATCAAATACATTTTATCGTAGCATGGAGTATAATTCTAAAATTGGATGATTTATAGGGTATTTAGTATTTTGTACACTTGGTGAAGTGTACAACACTGCACTATGAAGTGAAAACTATTAAGCTAGAAAATATTTTTTCTTCTGGTTTTGATCTTGTAACAAAATAAGTATTTAAATGGTTTTTTTAAAATTATAAACCATCAATAATTAGTGTAATAGTACTTTTTTAATTCCTCTGATTATAATTATTATTTTTATTACCTCTTGATATAACCTATTTTATTGTGAATATTGCTATAATGATATTGAAGATTTATAACTTTTTGGTAATTTTTAATATCCATACAAGTACCATTTTAATGAACAAGTTAAGTTATTAATGGTAATAATGAATTTTAAAGTATAATAATAAAATTTAAATGTTTTTGTTACTTTAATAATGTATAATTTACTTACAAATAACTAACAGAATTTGGATCCTTTGATGTTAATGCAATGTTAGAGATCAAGTGTTTAATAGAATCTTTAGCAATATTAGTCAATGGTAATGATAGAAGACTCTCGCCATCATGTTGATAAACCCCAACAATTGGTGAATCAAATTCTCTTTCCCAAAGTAAGTTATGGTAGTTTATTGGAGATTCATTAAACTTTTCTTTTGGATTAAGAAAAACTGCAAAATTACCAGATGAACTACCAGCAAAATATTTCATACCTAAAATAAACAATATCAGATAATATTATAATGACAATATTTCAATTTCAACCAATATTAAAAATCTTAATACCATGATTATAAATTTGTTCTTCTGTCATGGTTTTAGAGTTGTAACTAAAAAATGTTACATTCCATTGGCGTTGGTCATTATTTAAACTGTCAACCATCATGACACTATATTCTAATAAATATTCAAACAATTTAAATGAATTACATACATAAAATAAATATAATTATAATATTTAATGTTAACACATACCAGATTTACTTAATAAGATGGATTTTGAAGCAATTGCTGTACATATTTCTCCTTTATTTTCGAAATTCATGAACGGATGTTTCTCTCCAGTATTCCAATCAATAAAATACCAACTATCAATTTTCTTGCCTAACAATACAAATAATTAAAAATTAGTTTATTTATATAATGATAGGCAATAAAATAGATACCAGAAAATAAAATTCCATCTGAACTTCTACATGGAGAGTTAGCAACTAACTGAGGAATAGTAACATCCAGTTTCTTAACTCCTACTTTATCTTTATTATGTATTAAATAAAGGGAACCATCTCTGGGATCGGGCACAAATAGTGGTCTGTAAAAAGAGTAAAGTATATACTTAATTCTATACATTAGATCAAAAGAAAAAAAATACTCACGTAAGAGCATCTTTTATATTAGATGGTACTTTGACCGGAGGATCTATTTCAGAAAAAAAATATCAGTGTTTTTATTTCAATTGTAGCGATTATTGTATAAATATTAAATTGATTATGTACCATCAAGAAAATTCCATAAAGTTTTTCCAGTTCTTTGGTCTACGGCGATAAATGAGCCATCCAATGTAGACAAGAATATGATACCTTCATACTGTAATAGACTGACTTTGGCCAAACTGCTGACTTCCTGAAAACAAAAACCAAAACACTAATGCACACTATCTAAGGATTTTGTGTCAAAATAGCCAATGCGATTACACACATAATGTAGAACAAACCTTTGCACGGTCTTGATCATGGGAACTACACAACAAGCCAATGGCGGTCAACAGTACCAGCAGCGTTCGCAATACGGTTGATGCCATAATTGTATCACCTGTTGTTCGTTAGTAAGTCGTCTCTCGTGATCCGCAGGTCTGATCAACGGTCGCGTGTGCATAGTTGTGTCGGGCCGTTCAGCGCATTCGGTCGGTCACGCGCACTGAGATCGTCCAAATTCGAGTAATCGCCGTTGGAAAATAAATCTGGTCAGTGTCGAAAGCCAGTCGGTATCACCGAATCAGTTGTCGTTCGCATAACGATATGATAAGCGGACGACGGTAAACAGACTGCAACGGCGCGAATCACGTTGTGCGGGCGAAACATCCAACGAAAGGGGTGCACAACGAGGAGATAAGACCAACAACTATAGTGTACGCAGCTATCGCGGTGATAACACAAAAATAAATGTTCATATACTCTGTATTGATAACGCGACCTGATGATCGGAGTGGAGTGCGGGCCAGTGGTGCCAAATCAAACGTCTCGCGCTTACGGTTTCGTTTACTATATAAAATAAATATAGGCATATTGTGCCGAAATGAAACGCGTTCGCGGTCGTCATTTCGAGTTTCAGCGGTTGATTGAAAATGAATACAAACCAAAAATTATTGTTTGGTTTATTTGATTGTCATTGTCTACGACCACCACTGTCCAAAGGTAATAATGATTTTTTTTTTTTATTGCCAGTCCAATTCTACGATGTTTAATTGTTATAACATAGTTATGTTATTACCAGGGCTCGAAAGCATAGGCGGAAATTGGGCGGGGGGGGCTTGAGGGGACTAAGCCCTAAAAATTTGTAAGTGACTAAAAATACAATAATTATTATAACTTTATAATACATTTCTAATAACTGAATTAAAAAAAAAAATATTATATGATAAAAATTAAATCAAATTTGTAAGATTTTACAAACTTCTTGTCATGACTTGGAACGATCGAAATTAATGTAATATTAATAATATGTAATAATACCCGTATAGGTTGTTTAATTTAATTAATTAATAATTTCTGTTTAAAATACCTACTCCAAAAATGTTTAAGATAAGGCACCTAATTGTTTTTTTGTTTAAATTGTTGATTAAAAATATCAAATTGTCTAACTTCGTAAATTGCCTTGTTGAAATAAATAATTACGCACAGTGGTATCTATAGGTATAATAAGTAAATAATGCTCAGGCCCCCCACAAATTTCATCAAATTTCCGCTTATGTTCCAAAGTTGTAGCACTAAAAATATTACTTTTTAGCTCTTAAATATGCACTTAAAAATTCTAAAATATGCGCTATAAAGAACACGAAAAATCAAAAAACATGCATTTAACTTGAAAAAATGTAATTTTACAAATTGTTAGGCTCATTAGACACAGTCTGTACTGATTGAATTATAAAATGTTAACAAAAATGGTAAATTAATTAATTTGTAAAAATGTACTTATTAATTATCTTATATATTTACCTTGGAAATTATCCTAGATTATTAAAATGTTTGATAATCTAATGCAATGATATAATAAGGGAATAACAATGACATCACTAACTATTAATACATCAAATTGTCAATGAAATAATACATCAAATTGTCAATGAAAACATAGTATAATATTTGATGAAGTCTATTTATTTCTAATAATTGAAATATTTTTAAAAACGTAATCAAGTAAATACAATTATTATCAACAAAATATGATTATTTCCTACATTATGTGAAAATATACCCGAGAATATCACTATAAACCAGTGGCGTCATTTGAATTTTATAATAGGGGTGCCAAAATTTAAGCAGGCCACTTTAAAAAAAAAAAAAAAAATAGTAAATACAGATATCGTTTGTGTGTAAGTCACTTGTATGGGGCTTAACTCTTGAAGGTTATATTTTAACGAATTCAAATTATTCATTAATAATTTATCTGCTTTAATAATTGTTATTTGGTTGTAATTACCAGCTAGTAAAAACATATTTTTGCATTGAAATTTGAAAATTTACTTACTGTAATTGTTGACTGCGTTTTTTTTGTAAACATTTGTTCTATACTGTAAGATTTGGATGATGTACAATCATTTTTTTTTGTTTTCGTCACGTAAACGAGCAGCTTCACATTTTCTATTTTTTTTGTTTTGGAAATTCATGGCAAAATTAAAATAATTAAATAAATAGTCGATAACTAAATTTAATGACAACACTAAACATTTTTACGTAAATTACGTTAACATAATATGAAAACTTCAATTTATTAGAATCAATATAACCTTACATTTCATTTTTGAGCTATCTTAAGAATGTTTTTTCTGGTAATCAGTCGACAGACGTAGTTAGATAATATTATTATTGTTAAAACGTATAACCGTCTGTAATAACATCTATTATACTTTTATATAATCTATATTTATACTATATTTTATTATACCGCATTTATACGTACCAACGGGCAATGATAAAAACATAATCTGAAAAGTTGGAAATAGCTTTGATCAATGATCATGCATAGACGCATAGTGCAAGCTATGATCTAATAAAAAACTAAAAATAATTAATATTATGTATTTACCTACATAATAATATTATATTTTATTTTTACAATATATTTTAATGTTTACGCATAAGACCACAGGCCTGTGCGCCGTCGGCACATTGTAAATTTTAATCCAGGCCAATTAGACACAGAAATAAATAGGGGAGCCAAAGTATACCCTGTTCCCCCCCAAATGGCGCCCCTGCTATAAACCCAAAATTAGCAAAATAGCAATGAAACCCGTAAATATGAAAAATATAGCAAAATTAAATTTTGTGTATGATATCCGAGTAGTGAGAAACATATTTGTTTCTTACTTTGGATATTCTAGGATGAACCAAGAAAAATATGCATTTGCCGAGCCCTGGGCTTAGCCCCCCCCCCCCAAATATTGTAATAGCCCCCCAAAATCGAATCTTTGTTAGAATTTTTATTCGTCGTTTTTATAATTATCTGTTTACTTTTTTGAAAATCGTAAAATAAGAAATAATTAAAAATAAGTATTTACAATAGCATTAACAATACCAATTGGTTCGGCTACTTACAAAAGAAGTTTCAATGAAAAAAATAAAAATTTGGCTAATGTTCAGCGATCTTTCAATACTATATATTGAAAATATTAAATCGAAAAATATAAAAAGCGATGATATTTTGAATATATTTGCTGATACAAATAAATATTTATCATTAAAATAAAATATTAATTATTTTTAAATATATGTTATTTAGTGTTTTTTTTAACACAATTTAAACATATCTATATTTTCAATAGTAATAAGTCTTACTTGTGCACTCAAAGGAGGTATGGGAGCGAAGCCCCGCGGATTATTTTACATTGAATTATTATACCCCCCCCCCCCCAAAATTCAACCAAATGTCCGCCTATGAGCAAACTTAAGTTTTACCGCCCCTTGCATGTAAATATATCAAATATTGTTTTTACATAAACAATATTAAAATAGACTTACTTCTGAGTAATATATTATATTACTGTATATGATTATATTTATTTATGTAAAATTAACTATTTATTAGATTAATACATTTGTACAAATAAACCACTTCTAATTTACGAGTAAATAAAACAAAACAGTTTTTTTGAGTCTTATTTTTTACTACACATAATTTGATATGAGTAGATATTAGTAAATTTAATATTTTTTTAAAAATTATCCATAGTTTAAAAATATTAAATGCCGCCTTAGGCGAAGACTTATGTCGCTTATCTCTTGAGCAGGGCCTGTTCGGTTACGGTTGATCCCGGCTGGCAACTGTGGTGCCTCATATATAATATTTACCACTGGCTAGTCTCAGCGTAAAATATGTTCAATTAATTATATAAATATTTAGCCAAGTAATCGCGATTGCGTGATTGGGATCCAAATGTTTTTCGCGTTTATGATAATTGTTATAACTTGTTCATTGTTTATTTATAAATATAACTATAACATATTCAGGTGGACACGAGAAGTACTGTGCATTGATCCACCAAGTGTATCTATCTAGAAAACAGTTGCACTAGGTTTACTCAACAGTGTACCTACGTATTACATATTATTATGATGTTCTTTTTAGTTGAGAGTTTTATATTTCTTCCAAACAATATTTACCACTGAAATTTCTACACTTTTAGTCAGCTATTTCGAATTTTTCAACTTTCCGATTCATTGTATACATATCAAAAACGTTAACGTTGGCCAATAATTATTTTGATGCTCAGTTTTTATTTAAAGTTTTTTTTTAAAACATTGTATTTTACTAACCATTTCAATCTTAATTTAGTTTGATTTCAATGTGATTGTAATTTGTAACTAATTAAGAACCATTATTCCTCTCGATGACGACCTATTTGAATAATAGTAATTAGTATGTCTTATTGTATAATAATAGATTAAATTACCAAGTTAAATTTGAGTTTACGTAAAAAACTATGGCTGTAGACCAATATGTAACTTACGACTTACTGAATAATGTGGTTCAACAAGTGATATGACTTACGTCATATATTATTGTTTAACGAGATGATCAAACTGTAAGAAATGTGTCGATGGCAGTAAAATCTAAGGATTTCAAGTTTTTTGAAATTTTTTGAACGCACGATAGTCAGATGGTATGCAGATGGTGAACATACAGGATACATATGGCAACTTTAACATTTTGATATCTATCTTCTTAGTAGAAGTAGAAACTGGTTCAGCTATTAATGATAAAAGTAGTGTCTACACATGTTTAAATAACCATGCGGTTATGTTCACTAGACTTAATTTACCATCAGAAAAATTAAATTGGTTTGATCGCGAAGTTTTCTACAAGTCTATTATATACTTGATATTGACAATTAATAATCTGTATCTAATGTAAATTGTGCTATTATTTGGGTACTAATCGTAATTTGCCATTGATTACTTAATGGTTCAGCATAATAGCATTAATATGTACTTACTATAGTACTTACTACTTATACTTATAAGTAGTACGTAAGTAAGCCACGGATTGACTAGTGAGTAAAATACATTTTGTAAGTTTTTTATATTTAAAATTGGGAAGGTTGATGTTTTTCTAGGTCTTGGATAATATTTTCTTAAAAATGTATTTATTAATTAAAATTAATATTAGAAAAAAATTTTTTTATAACGATAACGATGGAAAAATTATATTTTCACAGGAAACCATTAACACAGATTTAATCTGAGCTTATATTAAGGTGATTCCCAGTGGTGTATGAATTATTTCAAGATTGGTTATTTGGAACTACATTTTCTTGAAAGTTTGTTGTAAAAAGAAAAAAAATATTTCTAGTAAATTTTATTCGTGATAAAAATGTGAATGATGAATACTTGATTTCTCAGTTGTATTACATATCCTTTGTTGAAATTAAATGTAATTCAGGGTTATTGATTGTACATATGTATGTAATTTAAAACGTTGTTATTCAAATTGACAATACATAACGACGTTTCATTCATAGAGAAAACTTGATTAGAACTTAGAAAAACTGATAGGGGCGTCATTTTTCCAGAGCTCCATTCAAAAGTGAGGTCTTTAAATTATTGGTCGGAAACAAGTTCAAACTCAAACCCGGTAAATTAGATAGTGAAAAAAGTCGACCATCCCCTCCTTCAAATTTTCTTTTTAAATATTGAGTATTCAAGTATTTAGTCTATTATAAAACCAATGATTTATACTTTATAGTTATAGGACAAAATTCAAGTCTATTAAAATGTTATTAAGCTAAGTAAACTGATCAAATATGAAAATTTGATGTTTATTATTATGGTTCGGGACTTATTGCAAACAAATTTTAGGAAATATCTATGTATAAATATATTTAAAAAAAAACCGAAATTTATGCAAAAATATTCAACTGAATTTTTTTATAATAGCAATTCCAAATAATTTTTTAATTTGACTTAGTAAATTTTAAATTTAGACAATTTTTTTGTTTAGTTTTTTTCAGACAACAAAAACTCTACAAGTCTAAAACTATGATATTAATTTATATGATCGAATTAAATTTTTTCATCTTCATTTCCCACAAAGAAAATAAGTTTGTTATTATAAAAAAATCTAAAAAAAAAGTTAACATTACAAGAAATTTACTTCACTTAAAACATAAAAATGAATAAATATGTTCTAAATAATTGTTATTAAATTGCAAAAATGGCAAAATACAAATTTTCATATTTCAATCCGTTTTGTCTTAAAACAAATGTATATTTTACTCAGATTATTCTACAGTCATAATTAAAAAAAATGCAAATGCAATAAGTCCCGAACCCTATTTATTACAATCATTTTTTGACCTTCACGTATTCTAAAACAAGAACGCTATTTGGTAGACGCCTACAATATATTATGGATGATTTATGCATAAACCTTGTTATTAAGGAAAATAATTGTCATTAGAAGGGGTATACTGATTACGTAATATAATAAAATATCTGGTTTTCAGACACTTAAAAAGAATTCAGTAATATTTTGTTCTCTTGACTATCTGATCACTAAAAACTGGAGAACCGGTTTATGACAATAGGTACAGTCATATAGGATGCGGTAAATATGTACGAATACGGTAAGATGATTCACGTTATTATCTTTGACTACTATAAATTACAGTTTACATCAAATCGATAGCAATCGAACCAGTATAGAAATTAAAATATATTGATTATCGCAGTATTACTATGTAAAAATTATATGTATTATATAATTAATACATTAAATTATATTGTATATACCTAATTAATTATACACAATAGGTTTTATACTATAGATATTGAGTATAGTCTGTTTTATTACTCAAAGTGCTATATTATGAAGGCATTTAAAAAAATAAATATGTATTTCAAATAATTTCGCGGTACTCTGGTTGGAAACCTCTGGTCTACCTACACAGCGTGTCATATTCTCATCGCTATACCAAATATTAAATTTAAAAATGTAAAAAAATGCAGTTTGATTGTGCTTTTACGTATATGTCATATATGCTTATGCGTATACTTAGTATAAATGAAATGACATAAATGTATGTTTCCTTGAAATCGATACGGTATGTGTTATAATCAGTAATATATAA